CTGACTGGGAATAACCCATAAACCCCATGGGTTGTGGTCCAAACCAACAAATAAATCTAAATTGTGTTCCTAAAAACAACTTATATTAGATTTTTAAAGTTCAGATGATCTCTTTAGATCATATTTTAAACAATCAACATATTGTACTGATATTTACCTTTTTTCCTTTTCCTTTTAGTTTTTATATCGTGATTTACAAAGCTGTTCGTAAAAGAGTTGTTTTAAGCATACAGTGTTCCAAAACCAATCCCACCACTAGTATGTCCCTCTCTCCTTCAATGTCCCCAGCTTCCTTCCCAAACCCTTGACAGTTATATAATAAGCTTAAGTCCTATCACTTGCTCCAACAAAACTTATGGATGGAATAATCAAAAAATAAATAAGTCAATAAATAAATAATCAAAAAATAAATAAGTCAACAAAAATTAATTTGTGGTGATTAATTGCTAAGTGATTTTTGACTACTCTAAATCAGATGTTTATTCATTATTTAAAATGTATAAAATTCCTTAGCAAGCTACAAATAAACATACCCTTCTTAATCTAGAAGAGGGCAACCATATACACCATTAACGAGTGCATAAATCCTTGCTAATGAACCCTTTATTATGCTTCTTGCAACTCTCACGGTGGTTTCAAGGGTATGAATTCCCTAAACTTTTTCTTTTCTATAAAACTCTATAGTTTCTTCAAGTCTGAGTGATTTGTCTGGATAGAGTATCCTTGGTGAGGTGTTCATTTCATTGAGTTTTTATACTCTCCTAACTTGCAGAGTTTCATTTGATAGATCCGCTGTGCATAGTATGGGCTTTCCTTTGTATGTAAGATCCTTTTTTTGATCTTGCTTCTTTAAGTACTTTTTCTCTTTTATTTTTGTCATTTTGTGTACAGTGTGTCTTGGAGGTTTTTTTTTCCATTGTTGGGACACTTTGGGCCTCTTTGATTTTGGGCCTATATTTCCTCAACTCTGAGAAATTCTTATCATTGATTTCTGTAACTATTTTTACTAGATTACATTTGCTTTTTTGTTCTTCAGGAACTCCAATAATTCCTATATTGTTCCTCTTTAACTCACCCTATAGTTCTCTGCTGTGCTGTTCATTTCATTTCAGACTATTTTCTGCCTTGAAGTGTTTCCTAACAGTTTCCTCCTTCTCATTTTAGAGCTCCTCTATTTTTTGCTTTGCTTCTGTTCTGTTATTCAGATATTCTGTTGAGTTTTTTTTGGTATCATCTGCCATGTACTTCATTTCTGTCATTTCTGATGTAGTAGGGTTTTTTTTCAACTCATACTTTCTTGAGCTTTGCTGATTACCAGTACCGTTGTTTCTTAGAGTTCATTGAACATCCTCATCATGGTGTCACTGAAGACATTATCTGATATTTTTTTGATATTGTTTATTTTCACCCAGTGAGCTTCATGGGCTTGTATTTTTCCAATTGGTTTACAAGAGTAGTTCTCCTGAGGTGAACTTTTACACTGAGACCCCCTGGAAAATTCTGAGGAATAAAGGCTAGGGTTGCTCTTTTTCTTCTCTACCTTCGCTACCAAATGACAGGGAGAAGAATAACTGAGCGGTGTGTAGTTTGTTGGGTGAACACAGTCACTCATTTAATGAGCTGTGGTGTGGCACAGTTTAGGTGTGGAAACTGCTGGAACTTCGCTGGTAGGGCTCTGCCTCCCATTCCAGATAGGTCAAGTGATGCCAGCCAGAGCCAAGACTCATCTAGAATGGTGGAGCAGCAAGTAAAAGTTCTGATGTCCATCTTCTAAAATGATTATCTTATGTTATCTTATATGTCCTATATATATACACATTTTACTTCTCCATTGTTTTTTTGGTACTAATTAAATAATTTCTAATATAGCATTTATTTTCTTAAAATTTTTAATTACTTTTGAATTATGTTTTTAGTGAATACTCTAGGACTTAAAACCATTTACAACCAATTTATCAGAGCATATTTCAAATTTATACAAAGGTTATTATAGAAATATTATTCTAGATTATTTTTCTTCCATATTTGTCCTACTAGTATAATACATGTTATGTATAAATGTGTCACCAATCTAATAGAACATTATTATAATTGTTACTGTATATAAGCATTTTTTTTCTTTTTGAGTCACACCCAGCAAAGCACAGGGGTTACTCTTGGCTCATGCACTCAGGAATTACTTCTGGTGGTACTCAGGGGACCACATGGGATGCTGGGAATCGAACCCTGGTCGGCCGCGTGCAAGGCAAACACCCTACCCGCTGTGCTATCACTCCAGCTCCCTATATAAGCACTTTTTAAATAAGGCAAAATGGTATATATTTATAAAATTTATTACATTAACTTCGTTTGCTTATCTTTAGTAGCTCTCTTCATTTATTCCTGTGGATTCAAGTTACAATTTAGGAGTATCTCCTTGATTCCTTACATCTGAGTTCCCATGTACATACTCCTTATGTGTTCATTGTTAGATATATCTTACATTAAAATCATATTATACCTCATATGCAATTTTTTTGTGGTCCACACCTGGCTGTGCTCAGGGCTTACTCACTCTTAGCTTCTTACTCAGGGATCACTTCTGGCTCTGTACTCAGGGATCACCCCTGGAGGACTCAGGGGACCATATAGGGTGCTGGGGATCGAGCCCAGGTTGGCCATGTGCAAGGCAAGCACCCTACCCACTGTACTATAAGCTCCAGCCTCTCTTTCACAATTTTTGAAAATCAGTTCAGAGAAAACTAGAGATTATATAAGCAATTATGGAGCTCTTCAGAATATCTATAGTATAACCTTTGCTGGTGTTTTGTAGGTTCAAATAACTTTCAGTATAAAGAACTTCTTTGGTGTACTTTTGTCAGAAACTTCAAGTAGTACTTTTAAATCTGGAAAATATGTGTTTCTGTTATTTGGAAATAGCTGTACTTCACATTTAATTTTAGAAAATAATTCTGGTGGACATAAGATCAACAATTTGGTGGTCAACAATCTTCTCATTTCCACCATTTTTTCATACTACTATTTCCTCTGTTTCTAAAAATAATAAGTTATTATTATAAGTCAACGTTATCTCATAACTGGTTGTCTATGAAGATAAACTCCATGACATCATCTAAAAAATTAATTTTGAGTTGTATATTGAAAAAGCATTAATTTATTAAATAACTATTTCTACTTAAAACAGTATCACATGTATACATTGATTGAACAATAATTATCTTCTACATATAAACAATAGCAAATATGTTGGCTTGGTTCATTGACTTGGCCATTATTAGAGAAGCTCTACATAAAAAAAATTAACTGACAATACTTTATCTCTGCTATTTAAATAACTTTCTTCATTTCTCTTTATTCACAATCATTACCAAAATCAGTACTCACCAACCAATTGTTGCCACTGGGAAGGATTAAGGGAGGATAGATAGGACAGGTAGCACTCCAGAAAATAAATGAAAGTTGTTTTTAGGAAGGAGGAGGAGGTGCTAAAAGGTGGTAAAGTATTATGCATAAAACCCTATCAGTAACAGTTCTGTAAACTACAGTGCCAAAAATTTATTCTAAAAAGTGCCTGTCATAGAGGTAGGCTGATGGGGACAGGGAAAAACTGGGGACATTGGTGGAGGAAAGAAACACTGGTGAAAAGATTGTTATTTTGGTGGGAATATTGCATGGCTGAAACCCAAACATCAGTAACTGTATAATTCATGGTGACTAAACTAAAAAAAAAGAAAAACTCAGTGGGACCCTTAACCAAAAATCTTTACTAAGGAAGTCAAAATACAAAATTGTTATCCTACATCAAAATTATTTACATTTAAGATAGATATTTTAAAATTCTCTTGTAATATAAATATTTATGATTGGTTGCTTCTTCAGTTTAAGTAAAAGAAAAAGAAGGAAACTTTAAGAAGCATAACATGGAGAATGTTCTAGGTTGACATTCTGTCCTTTCCCTCTCCCCTTAATTTTATTTAAGCACTGTGGTTACAAAGCTGTTCATAATATATTTGTTTCCAGCATTTAATGTTTCAACACCAATCCCACCATCATGACTCTCTCCACCAATGTCACCAGTTACCCACTACCCCAAAAGTCTGACATCTTAGAAAGTATAAAATAATTTTATATTGTTTGTTACGCTGTACTTTAAATAAAGTTGAATAATGCTGTCTGAGTTTTCAATTTAGATTTGGCTATTTTTCTATTCTGAAAGGTATTCATGTAAACTTCACTTTATATAATGGGAATTTGTGTCAGTAAACAAATGTGGAAATACAAGTAAAGATAATATTAAAATTAAAAAGAAATATGCCATCAAAGTATCAACTTTGTCAGACACAATTGTAACCAGAAAAAAAATCAAAAGATAGCACGTTCTATCCAGAAACAGATTGATTTCATTTCCTATCATTTTGAGCATTATTCAAAATTTTGTGAGGTATAATCAACATGTCTTTCCCTATAAAACTATTATTTTTTTATGCAAATAGAATATAGCATTAAAATTATTTTTAAGTCATTAAATGTACCATATGTGTTTATTGTTTAATGGATGTTAAAAATGATGAAACTACAATGGTTTCTATAGTCTATTAACATTAAATGGCTTTAAGTAAAAAATTCTTTTATATTAAACATGTTGTATAGATAAAATTTTTAACAAAGTTATGGATATTCACATATTTTATTATGCATATATGTGCCTTTAGCTCTAAAATTATTGTATTTTTAAACTTAATTAAATGAAATAATATTATGTGAGAAAATTTATGTGGAAAAAAATTTTAAAAACCTAATTTTATTGTTTCTATAGATGAAAACTGTTATAACTCAGAAAATCATCCAGAAATTCAACAAAAAATTTTTTTGATTGTCATGCTAATCTTATAATAACAAATATATCTTTGTTCTTGTATTCTTTTTGTATCATTTACTCAACATTTTCTCATGAGTAAAATTTAAATCAGATTTAATGAAATATTCTTTTTTTTCCTTAGGAAAAAGTCCAAGAGAAGGAAGAAAATCTGAATCATGTAAACCAATTCTCAAAGTAGAGTACAAGACCTGTAAAAATAGGTAAGAATTTTTGCTTTGAAAGATATGGGAAAACAGCAGAGACGAGAAAGCAAGTAAATTTTAGTCTGTGTATTTTACTGTGCATAGTTTCATAGATTATGAGTATTAGCTGAATCTTCTATATGAATAACAGATTTATTGTCATGGAATAAACACTTGCATCATTTTGTATTTTAAATAGTTATTTTAAATTTTCTAATCAGGCTGGAGCAATAGCACAACGAGTAGGGTATTTGCCTTGCACGTGGCTGAGCTGGCCGACCTGAGTTCGATTCCTCTGCCCCTCTGGGAGAGCCCAGCAAGCTACCGAGTGTATCTCGCCCGCATAGCAAAGCCTGGCAAGCTACCTGCGACGTATTCGATATGCCAAACACAGTAACAACAAGTCTCACAATGTTACTGGGCCTGCTCGAGCAAATCAATGAACAAAAGAGGACAGTGACAGATAAATATTCAAATTGTATGTATACATAGGTTTTATACATAGGTCTGTGTTACTATACATATTTACAAGTAGCATTCATTCAACATAATTAGGCAAAATCATGTAAATAATTACACCTGAAAAATATTAAGTACATCACAAAGTTTTGTAGTTCAGAATTTTAATTCTGGCTCTTATGTATTTTTATTGTGCTAGGGCTTGATCCCAAGGTCTTAAACATGCAAGGCATACATTATGCCACTGAGTCACATCCTTATCCCCACAGAATCTAACATTCCAAAGTTAGAAGCAATATAGTTAGATAAGTAGATACTGGGGGTATGATGCTGCCAACAGGTCAACCTGTAACTGCGTGGCGAGTGCATCAGCAGCCTGATGTTGCCTTCAGGATTCTTGATACCCCAAAATTGCTGTTGTGCCTTTGGCCAGACCCCAACAACTTGGGAACAAGTCTTCTTTTTTTGTTTGCTTTTTTGTGTTTTAATGTTTGATTGAATTTCTTTTTTTTTTTTAATTTTTATTAGTGAGACACCATGAGGTACAGTTGTAGATTTACAAATTTTGTGCTTGGGTTTCAATTTACAATGATCAAATACCTATCCCTCCACCAGTGCCCATTTCCCACCACCACAGATCCCAGTATCCCTCCCACCCCCATCCCCCCCATTCCCCCCATCCCCCCATCCCACCCTGTCTTTGGGAACAAGTTTTACCAAGAAATTAAATGGCCAAAAGTTAGGTATGTGGGAGTCACACCCACAAACCACCTCTAGCTCAGCTATACAAGCTCACTCAGAGTTGGGATGGGCTACCTCCCCACTTCTCAATACACATGGAAGAACTGGCAGTCACCTCCATGAACCAACTCAAGCACCACCCTGTAAGGCTCTAGTATTGGCCTTGCCTCAGAGATCCCTAAATAAATCTCAAAAGAGATCAAAGGCCGCAGTTAGGCTCAGACCCATACATGTCTGAACAGTCTGGAGTAAATTGGAGGGGGCGAGTTGGCCTGCTCCTGCCCAAGCAGAGTCCCCAGCAGCCACTTGCTTCCACAATCCAAAATTGCCAACATACCCCAAACCTGACTCCACTATCTCAGGATGGACCTCACCAAGATATAATCTGCTGAAAATGTTGTAATGTAAATCTTAATGCACCAACAGCCCTGGCCCAGAGACACAGCAGCAAGTCCTGTGCCAGACACCACAGTGCCAGAGATCTCTCTGGGCCCCATACTGAGCCAGTATCACCAGGGCACCCCAAATGGAGCAGGTAGAGTCTCCCTGCCTACTCCAGATGGAATCCAGGTGACCAAGAGCTTCCACAAGCAAGGCCCAGGTATGCGGGATCTCGGACTACATCTCCAGGCTGCATGGTGACAGAAGATCTGGGCTGTCCCTCCCCGGGTCCCCAACTGCCCAGAAAACTGGCTCTCATCTCCACAATTAGCCTCCAGGCACCATCTTAGCACACCAACACCCTGGCTCAGAGACAGACACAGCATCAAATCCCAGATGACACCATAGCACCGGCGATCTCTCCAAACCCATACCGAGCCAATATCACCAGGGCACCCCAGATGAGCAAGTGCAGTCTCCCCGCCTACTCCAGATGGAATCCCAGTTACCAAGAACTTCCACAAGCAAGGCCCAGGTATGCGGATTCCAGGACTACATCTCCAGGCCGCATGGTGGCAGAGGATCTGGGCTGTCTCTCCCTGGGTCCTCGCCTGCCCAGAAAACTGGCTGTCATCTCCACAATTAGCCTCCAGGCACCATCTTAGCACACCAACAGCCCTGGCTCAGAGACACAGCAGCAAGTCCCAGATGACATCACAGCATCAGAGATGTCTCCAGGCCCCATACTGAGCCAATATCACTGGGACACCCCAGATGGAGCAGGTGCAGTCTCCCCGCCTACTCCAGATGGAATCCCCGTGACCCAAGAGCTTTCAAAGCAAGGCCTAGGTTTGCAGGTTCAGGACTAAATCTCCAGGATGCATGGTGGCAGAGGACCTGGGCTGTCCCTCCCTGGGTCACCACCCACCCAGAAGACTGGTTGTAATACCCACAATTTGCCTCCGGATGCCATCTTAGTGCACCAAAAGGCCTGCCCCAGAGGCTCCCAATTGAATCCCCATGCATTAGTGCCATACAGAGATATCTCTGGAATCCAACCATTTACAAGCTAGAAATTCCATTTACAGTCTCGCCCATGTGAGCTCTCGTGATATTTGAAATGAGCTATAGAAAATATATTATCTAGTGTCTGCCCCTGGCATGTAGGCTTGAATGGTGGTGGGAAAATTTGAGCAAAATTAGTGCTCCAAATTAGAGAGAGAGTATTGGGGAAATTGTCTGCCATAGAGGAAGGGTGAGGACTGTGATATGTATGTATGTAAGGGTGGGGGGATACTTGGGACAGTGGTGGTGGAAAATGTGCACTGGTGGAGGGATGGGTGTTTCATCATTGTATGGCTGAATCTCAAACATGAAAGCTTTGTAACTATCTCACGGTGATACAATAAAATAAAAAAGTAATGTGGAGTTCATGCCCAATTTAATCAGCTTAATCAATGGCTGTACAAATAGCAGTACTTCCACATTATTTTAAAAAAGATAAATATATTTGATATAATGAAGCAACACTAAATATTACTATATATAAAAATAAAGAACAGTAATTTTTTCTTTTAATTAAATTCCTTCGAGATATGCAGTTATAAAGATGTTCATGATCAGGTTTTGGTCATACAATTTTCTAACACCTATCCCTCCATCATTATACGTTTGCACCATCAGTGTCCCCAGTTTCCCTCACCAGTCTGTCTCTGATGGGCACTTTACTTCTTCCTCTCTCTCTCTCTCTGTCTCTTCTCTCTCTTCTTTTTAGCATTATGATCTGCAATACAATTACTGAGAGTGATCATGTTTGTTTCTTTACCTCCTTTCAGCTCACCGTTCTTATTCAGAATGATTTTTTCCAACTATTCATGTGATAGTATGCCCTTCTCTATCTCAACCGCCTTCTCCCACAGCACTTGAAGCAGGTTTCCAACCATAGACCAATCATCTTTGCCCTTGTTTCAACTGTCCTTGGGTATATTAGTCTCATATTTAGTTTTATTACTTCCCACAAATGAGTGCAACCATTCTATACCTGATGCTCACCTTCTGACTCATTTTACTCAGCATTATACTCTCCATGTGCATCCATTTTTAAGCAAATTTCATCACTTAATTTTTCCTAATAGCTGCATTGTATTCCATTGTAAAGATTTACCATGGTTTCTTTATTCAGTCATCTGTTCTCGGGCACTGTGATTGTTTCTGGATTCTGGCATTTGTGAATTGTGCTGTAATAAACATAGAAGAGAGGATGGCATTTCTGCTGTGTGTTTTGGGGCCCTCAGGATATATTCCCAGAAGTGGTATTTCTGGGTCATGGGGAACCCGATTTCTAGCTTTTTGAGGAATGCCCATATTGTTTTCCAAAAAAACTGGACCAGTCAACATTCTTACCAATGATGAAGGAGAATCCCTTTCTCTTCATATCCATGCCATCACTGGCTGCTCTTGTTCTTGTTGATGTGTAGCCAATCTCTGTGGTATAAAATGACAACTCATTGCTTTAATTTACAGCTTCCTGATGATTAGCAATGCAAAGCATTTTTTCATGGGTTTTTGGCCATTTGTATCTCTCATTTGAGGAAGTTTCTGATCATTTTATCTCTCCATTTTTTGATGGAGTTGGATGTTTTTTCTTGTAGTGTTCTTCCAATTGTAGAATGGTGAGATCCTGGTAGTGAATCCGCAATACAGCTCACGGAGGATCCTGATGTATTGGGCTTGAATGCCCTGATTGGCTAGGGCTTCAATGACCGCTTCCGTCTCAACAGAATCAAAGGCCTTCTTTAAATCAATGAACGTTAAACAGAGCGGCATCTTGAACTCCCGAGAAACCTCAATGAGCTTGGTTATCGTGTGGATATGGTCGATGGTGCTGAATCCTTTGCGGAACCCTGCTTGCTCGCATGGTTGTCCTTCATCTAGTGTTCTGCCTATCCTGTTTAGGATGACTCGAGTGAACAACTTGTAGATGACAGACAATAGGCAGATCGGGCGATAGTTGCCAATGTCATGGATGTCTTCCTTCTTGAACAGTAGTATGGTCCTGCTGGTTTTCCATTGGGACGGAACCTTGCATTCAGACAGGTAGCGAGTGAAGACCCGAGCCAGTGTATTGATGAGTACTGACGGCAGGTTCTTCAGGTGTTCAGGTCTGACCTTGTCTGGGCCGGGTGCTGTTTGTTTCTTTACCGATGAAATGGTGTGTCGGATTTCAGAAGGGAGAACGTTGGGAACGACATATCCATCCTGTGGAATTTGGTATGTCGGCAAGTGGACATGGCTATCGAAGAGATTTGAGTAGAAGTCATGGATAATCTTCTACATTGCCGTTCTGGAGGATGTGATGGATCCATCAGGACGTCGGAGGGCAGTCATCTTGGTCTTGTAGTTGGCGAAGGACAGGCGGGCGTTACGAATACTTTTCC